CCATATTTGCGGGAATAGGTGGCGTTAACATGGAAACTTTTTAATACTCTTATCAGAAAATCAAAGAGTGATTTAATAACTAATTTGCGTTTTTAGTCGTAAAGAAGTTTTATTTAAACATTCATTTCATACACCGAAGTTATAAGTGCATGCAGTGCATAGCAAATAACATAAATATATCACTCCCCTTAACATGGCCGCTACTATGATACAAAAAAATGGTGCAATCGTGCGGTTATGTCTAAGTTAAGTTACTCATGAATAGAGTAATGAGATGATGCATCTTCCATGGCAGAACTGGCGCTACTGCGCTGGGAATCCAATATAATATGAAAAATGATCACACTCAGCCCCTAACTATGAATAAGTGAACACTATTAGAATATTAAAGGTAAATTGGACACTTTGAAATCGTGTTTCATCAAACTAAAACGCATCCTGTTTGTTATAGTGTATTGAAATTTTAAAAGTATCCTAAAGCAACCTCGATCTAAACTTTTATTTTAATGTTTCATTAAAAAAAATTCTTATCTAGGTATGGGTTTATTGTTTTAGCTACGAAATTACATAGTTTCAAATAAGTATGATCTACCTATAAAGAGGGACTATAGAATGTGCGTTACAAGCATGGTGCTTGTGACAGTTGCTTAATTTTTCGTTTCACCCTTGACGCCCACCTACCACTGCGAGCGGAACGGACCCATTACGGACTCCGCTATACTCGTAACGATGATTTTCATACATTTTCATTTTCATTTCCGAGGGAAACTCGGTCAACTCGCTAACCTCATATGTGACTCTTTCAACTCGCTCTCTCCGCTGCGCTCGTCTCCGCTTTGGTGGAAGCACATGTATGAAAATCATCGTTACGAGTATAGCGGAGTCTAATGCGTCCGTTCCGCTCGCAGTGGAAGGCGGGCATGAAAGTTGCCGCGAATTACAAATTATGACTTAGTATTACATTTGTAATATATTAAATCATTCATAACTGTAGTAACTTAAATTTAACCCAGCCAGAGGCCCAATTTTTTAATAGAATTTAAAATAGGAATAAGCTCCTTTGTTCACATTTCTGTATGTCATATTGATGGAAATATATAATATTTGAGTATGAACTATTAAGCTTCCAACCACGTGTTAGATGTAATTTTTTAAGGAATATCGAGATGATCCATTTTAATTTAAATTAAGTATGAATCGCTTAGGAAACAGATAATATCAATTCAGTAGCTTTAGAGATATCCACGTATTTAAATTTCTTCCTTGTTTTATTGTTGTTTTTATTATTCCTTACTTTTTACCATTACTTAACTTTACTGGTCGTATTCACATTTTATGTGTTTGTGAATTTGCGTTTTGTGGTTCAAATAAAAACTATCTGGTTAAATAATTAATTACTTCAGTTGAAAGGTTAATGTCGGTTTAGTTTTTTATCGTTTCTGTATGAGATTCAGCGATGCAATATATTTTTTAATTGTCAAAGTAGTACAATATACTGCAAAGTGGTGTTTTGAGCGTCAGACGGATGGGGTAAGAGTAATGTTCGGTGGAAATGAAATTTTTAATAACGTGACCTTTGCTTAAAGCCATCTAAAACCTGCTGACGCTCGCAATTTGACACGACAAAGGACTTGATGAAAAAAAATTGGTTTATGTTAAAATGCACAATTTTACATAGCGTATATTATTCGACAACCCACAATTCTGGGAATATTGTCGCAATTGGTTTTTTTGTTCAGGTGCAACGACCTATAACACTTTAATATTCGGGGGCTACAAAACATTGAAACTACATCTTCCTAAAGCCTACCTACACGATACTATAGATTTGAGTAATACATTTTTCGTCATATTCATTCAACAGCTCTACACTTCATGATGAGTATTTTCTTTTAATTTTGTTCTTTGACTTTTTAACAATAACACAACACAATATTTAAAATCTCGTTTTTACAGGGTTATTGAAACAATTAAAGCTTGTAAATCGCACTACTATTAAGTACCATTTCTTATTTTAATTGTAATTTTTAATCATTTAATTATATTAGGTAAAATAACCAAAACCTTTCTTAAAAATATAGTGCTTACACTATGTAATTTCCCATAGCGGTGCAGCACACGACCTTTTAGAACGCCAGTTTGATGTAGTTTCTCTCAACATCCGAAGCGCTGATGTCGCAACCTTGATATCGCGTGATACAAAAACTCGTTATTAAAATCGGGATCGATATTAGAATTTACCGAGCTCTGATGATGTATCATAACCAGAGTTAAATGACTAAGCTGAGTTAGAACTGGGAATCTATTATAATGACAAAAATTGTTAATCGACACAAGAATAGCAAAAGCATGAGAGCTTTTCAGCGCTTAGAGAAGTCATGAAAAATAAGAAAACTAGTATGGTAATTAAAAGAAAGCTATTCAATACTTGTATACTACCTGTACTAACATATGGATCTAAAACTTTAGCGACCACTAAAGTGCAGCATACGAAGCTACAGGTGTGTCAAGATCAAGATTGATGGAACGATATATGATAGGGAAGAAAAGAATAGTTAAAATAGAGAATACATCATTAAGAAGAACAACTAAGGTAGCAGATGTTACAATAAAAATAAATAAACTTAATTGGAAGTGGGCGGGTAAGAGGAACAGAAAAGTGGATCAAGAGAGTATTAAACTGGCGCCCAAGGTATAATAAACGCAAAAGAGAAAGAGCATTTAGAAGGTGGATAGACCAAATTAAGGAAACAGTAGGTGGTACGTGGCAGAGAGTAGCACAGTGCAGACAGGAATGGCAGGATTCGGATGAGCCAAAAAAGACCACACCTATAAAGTATAGATGATAGAAATGTAAAGTGTTTAAGTGAAAAAGTATTGGAAATAACTACTATTATTATTATAATTGTTAATACTAATCTGTTTTATTATACTTAGCATTACATTTATTCGCCTTAGTTAAATATAACTTGGGTAGGATTTACTATATTTTCGTAAAGGATGGAAATTATTTACAGTTTTGATTGGTTCTAATAACAACAATTACATACAATACCTTACATGTTATATTTGAGTCTTAATTAGCCACCATAATAGCCGTAAAAAAATACTGTCACAAATATTGTTTGATTTCTTTGATTTGATATTTATAGTAACATTATGATTCTTAGTTTATTAGTACATTCATATTAAAAATGAATTCGTGCTAAGGCAGTATTATACATAGAATTAGGTACTTTTTTTATTAGAATAAAGATTCTATAAACCAGTTTAAATAGTCACTTTGACAAAATTGTAATTACTTTAAAGATATCACACTGTTGACAAATGAAATATGCAGCTTCAAAAGGAATAATATAGATTTTAACACCTCTACAATCTACAAATCATTCTTGAATAGAAAATTAAGTCTTGTACTATATATCAAAATCAGGGGCAGAAATGGGTAATTTAATTAGTTGCTTATCGGTAAAATATATACATGTATATTTTTATTTAAAGGCTATCTATTTCAAAATTCACACAAATATATACGGATAAACCTAAAAAATATATTGAAAAAAAATACGAATTCATGTTATTCGGTCAAATGTTTTCGCTTTTAAGCTGTGTTGTAATTACAAGCACAAATTTAGTGAAAAAATTGTCGCGTTTATTTAATTTTAACCTATATCTAAAGAATGTTTATATAGTAATACTTGAGTGATAAGTACAAACTTTTACGACGTCAACTTAGTGTATAGACAAGACCTGAAATACAATAAACCCTTTAAATTTACCTCCCTATAAATATATTCACATCTGTAGTCCTGAAAAGAATGAATATTTTCCGAATAAAGGTGGTCCAATGAACGCGGTTTATTGTTGAAATATAATGATAAGTAAATTACTCCAGTCTATTTCTGAGAGAAAATGTTTTTAGTTTATAAAGAAATACAAAGTTCGGTCACATAGTACGTTGCAGGAACCATAAAGTTAAACGAAGTGTCGGGTCAGAGGTAATAAGGAAAATTGTGGTACACGCGCAGATAAAACCTGTATGTCACAAGCAGTATTAACAAAATATTTTTGTTGTTACTTATATCTATTATAAGAATACTAGCTGACCCGGCAAACGTTTTTTTGCCATGTATATTATTTCTAGGAAAACATTTCTTGTTCAATAAAAATAACTATCTACAATAATAAAAAAAAATAGGGGTAGACCGTAGAGGGGTGAAAATTAGGGGTTGTATGTATTTTTGTATGTTGTATCATAAAATAATAAAAACAAAAAAATTTAGGACCCCCTTTATCACTTAGGGGTTTGCAAGATACATAGTAGCCGATTCTCAAACTTACTGAATATGCAAAAAAAACATATGAATCGGTCGAGCCGTTTTGGAGGAGTATGGGAATGAACATTGTGACATGAGAATTTTATATATTAAGATATCGTAATTTTATAGAAGTAAATATTTATGCATTTATAATATAACATAAGAAACCCAGCCCATACTAATTAATGTGCTTAAATAGGTTTTGATCAATTATTATTATAATGATTTAAAATCAAGTAATATTATCTTTGCCATTTGCCTTATAATATATATTGATAAAATCGCAATGAACTCCGTTGGGTACCTGGATAAGCGTGAAGATGGAGATAATTTATATTGTTGATATACAATTTAATAAGTTCATATAGATACTAAAATTACATACAATCGAGCTTTTTAGTAGATATAAATTAATTGTACTGAGCACTTCCGTTAATAAAATAAATTCTAGCCTATGCGTCCAAGTGTATAATGTTATATTATCACAGCCATTAACTTAAGTGATACCAAACTTAAATAATCTAAAAAAGCTTTAGTTTATAGGGTTTTACGTAGTCGGTTATAAAAGAAGTTCGGTGGCAACCCTAACGGTTGATAGACTATTTAAATGTGACACCAATTTACAAGCACTTCAAATTTGATGAAAACTTCTGAGTTAGTAGAACTATGCCGCCCAATACAATGGGCATACCGGGATTCGACGACATTTTCAAACAAATTAATTTTAATTTTTGGTTCATCGGTATACCGTTTGAGGAAAATGTAAAATTACGATTTTATATTATGTGGTCTTGGCTCTTCGTAATGATCACCCAAGAATGCTTATACTTCATATCGAAGTTTTCCAACGAAAATTTCCTGGACCTAACTCAGCTCACCCCGTGCACTTGTATCGGTATATTGTCGATTATAAAAATTTTATTAATCGCTAAAAAAAGACTTGACGTCTCCAAATTGGCGAACAGCCTGAGAATATTGTACGAAGACATTATTCGAGATGACAAAAAGGTGTTCCTTGTCAAAGCAAATTTTGTATTTCTCAAATACTTGACCAAGTATTTCTTTATTCTTAACGCGATCCTCATTAGCGTTTATAACTTTGCATCGATTTTTCTTATTTTATATTTTTATCTTAAGAAAAATAAGGTCCAATTCTTTTTGCCGTATGCAATTCTCATTCCGTTTCCAATTGATACTTGGGGTAAATGGTTTATAATTTATATACATTCTACATTTACTGGTGAGTATTTTTTTATAAATTATAAGATGGATTTAATGTTAAGTGAACCTATAATATATAAGAACTTAATTCTTAATCATTTATTTATCACTGATCGCATAAACGCGATGTCTTTAATTAAATAATAAATAAAGAAATAAAAGGCTAAATTAGCCTCCAAGAAGCTTGGTGTGATCAGTCTGTCGTTCCACAACTGAGGCAGTTTTTTTAAGGCCACTTCTTTAAGGCAGTTTTTGCCGCGCACCACTACTATGAGGAACCAGCTACATACAAGAATAATGAAATATTCTTACATTTTTATTCATAAAAAATATGTCAGTCTACTGCACCGTTTTAACTAAAGCACTCTTTCGTCTATGTCTATCAATTTGTGTTTACGCTGTGTTGAGAGATTACACTAGTTAAAACGGTGCAAATGAACTTTTTTTATGAATAAGGGGGTTAGACTTTAATGTTTATAATATTTGTGCTAGCTGTAAAGAAAGTTATATAATTTATTACGATTGCATAACCCGTTTATTCATAATAATTGTATCTTCAAATTTCTTTTATTATTATTAGGCTCGTCAAATATATAATTGAAATTATTAAATAATATTTGCTTCAGGGTTCATATGTGTATTATACTTTACAACAGTCGATGCACTGTACTTCATAATGACTACACATATGTGTAGTCACTTTACCATACTAAGTCAGGAAATAAAGGATTTGAAAGCCAACACAACCCATTTATTGAAGGACATTGTAAAGAAACATCAATATATTTTAAAGTACGTGTATAATATTACTAAACTATGCTTAAATATTCCAGTTCACTTAATATACTGAAATATTTGGAGGGCAATGAATCGTGGGTGTGACACGTTTTTGCGTTTAAGAATATTTTTAAGTTATAGTAAACCTGATGTGCCTACGAACACAAAACAATTTTTTTTCCGCCCTAAATTTTACCTAAAACGTATTAATCGCACTGTCACACCACTGATGGTACTTATTCACTGGAATCGATACTCGTAAGAGAAAATAATGCTATATTTATCTTTCGTCTTATGCAATTTTTAAAACTTTCATTTTCAGATTGTCACAAGATTTAGAAGAAATTTTTTCGGGGCCCAATCTTTTCAACGTTTTAATTGGTTCCATCGAAATTTGTGCGCTAGGATTTAATTTAACGGTAGGTATACACACAAATACTCGGAAGTATAAAAGGCCAATGGTAGCCCTAAATTAGGAAGAGGTGGTATTTCAAAGTCTCCGTGCTTTGGTTGAGAATTTTTTTATAATAAAAAAATAAGAGGAACAACGGGGCGCCTACAAAGGGGTACACCGCATTTTTAGTGGGTACGCCGGCCTTTGAGGGAGGAGTAAACTCTAACTTTGAATAGTTGGGAGTCGATTCCACAGTTCTTGTTCAGTTCAGTTGGACTTCTTTCGATATGCCAACCCCAAGCATACTGAGGATTTGTAAAGTACTAAGGAGAGCGCCTTCAAATTAAGGAGACACGACAAAAGGATCTTTCTTGGCAGAAAATCTGAGTGTTTGTAGGGTTAAACTTAAGATTGCTGCTACCCCACACATAAACTTTCTCCAGTATCGTTTCAATTTTGGAAAAAAGCTTGTTACTTGGTTCTCATCGACTTCAGATCGAGACATGATTCTAAGAGATATGAAATAAAAAGCCACCTGTCTCTGCACAGCTGTGCAATCTTCTACGAAAATGGTCAGTTTGAAAAGATTAATCGATGTAGAGATCATTGTGTAAGTTTCATTCAAAGCTGTTCAACATCTGTAAAGTTGAAACGCGTTTTACAAAAATGGGATTAAAAATCGGAGTAACGGAAAGCAATTTTGAGCGAAAATGTTTTTTAAAGACTGAAAAAATAATATATATATCATTGCAGATGGGCAAGTGGACTCAAATACCTGGTGTGGTTTTGTTTTTAATGTCCGTACTACTTCAAATACTTATGATAAGCGTCTATGGAGAGCATTTAATTATGGAGGTATGAAACATGAATATTGTGAATGTAACCAGCGATTAGCTAAACAGTGTTTTAGTATAACATCGTTAAAAGTCTTTTATTAAATTCATATTATAGGTGCAGGAACAAAAGGTTTCTTTAGCACTTGCTAACTAACATCTTTTTGCAACCAAGCTACGGTTAGGTTTAATTATATTCTATAAGTAAGTCTCTAACCTAAAGTATCTGTTAAGATTGTTATTATTACAATAATATAATTAAATAAGCCACTTTATAAACAGATTTGGAGAAATTACCCAGTCTGTTTTTGAAAGAGTTCAAAAATTACACTACGAGTAAGCCTATTCCAGTCAACCACTACACAGTTTGAAAGAATTTTTTTTTATGGGATTTATATTCTCACTTAACAAAGAGTTTATCAAGGATTGGGAGATTACAGCGCCCAGGAAGATGACACTGACAATTAAAATAAGCAGCGTTATTTATTTTTGTGACGTATGTATACATAATTAAGTAACATGTAATGTTTTTTTATCTTTGTAGAGTACAAAAATCAGCGATGCAGCCTTTGAAAGCGAATGGTATGCCATGGATGTAAAATCGAAAAAGATTATAATTTTAATCATGCTAAGGTATACTTCACAAGCTGTGCTTTATGCGCATTCTTTTTGTGTGGTGATATTAATTCTATAAAAATAGTCAATCCAACAGAAAATAGTATTTTATCGACACAGTGTTTCCTAAGATTAGCGCGTTCACAGGAACTCTTTGCTTTATAATGTTAGTATTGGGTCACTAAGCGATGCTAATACGGCTTTGAAATACGACTTCAATAAATAAATGGCAAATAACAAGGGACGACAGCGCTTTTGGTACTCTAGCCTACTGCGTCTATAGATAACAGTTTGACTAACATTTTGAGGCTCAACCGTTTGCCCCATTAACCGATAATAATATATAAATATAAAATACCGCCTTTTCTACTATATTATATTTCACGAACGAAAGGCGAACGAACCCACGACGATTATTTTTTTATGATTTTTAATAAAAAATGTGCAAATTTTATTTTATCTGTTGCGATCTACAGTTGAAAAGCCATTCGATAAAAACTATTTTGACAGTTTTTAACATAAATTACAGGGCCAATAAACCGCAGACGCTCACCGCTTACAAATTTTCAGTTATTTCCTATGAGAGCTTCACCAAGGTACCAACCAGTTAAATTATTTACATCTACAGCCCTTCCCGTAGAGCTACGGGCCTGTCAATCTACGTTTACGGGCATAATAAGTTATAATGCACGAAATAGATGCAAGTACGAGCTAACGTAAAATACATTTCTATATAAAAAATAATAATATAATATAATATTTCTATTTCTTTTTTCATATTTTTTTTTCTATGGAAGCAAATATTAATAAAAAATATAAACAAGATCAGATCAAGTGAACTAGAATTATGTAGACAGCCTTTTCGTTTTTTGGGGCGTTAGTGCCTATATAACATTCCAACCGATTTTTTTTCAGATAATCAGTACATCTTGGTCTTACTTTACAATACTGAAATCTGTCTACAAATCACCAGGACAAGTACCAAACTAGAAGTAAACAAATTAGTAGAAACAGGCTTTTTAGCGTTCGTGTAGTTTTAGTAAAATATTCTTTTAAACTAGTGTTTCATTAATTATATCTGTATTCAAATTAATTAAATCAGGGTTTACCAGCTGTATCGTTTCGGATTGATCATACAGGCCAAACAAGTAAAGCATACAAAATAATTGCAAAGTTGTAATAAATTAATGCGTAATCAGACAAAATGTTTTTAGGTCTAATAATTTAATTATTGAATAATTTAAATCATAAATGCGATCAATATTCATTTTAGATAAATGTTGTTTAGCTAAGAAATGTAAATGTAATTACTTTTAATTGATTTTGATGATACATATTATCTTGAACAATAATTTCAACATGGCTCGAGTGGCCCAGGCACAGGAATGAATCCTGTGTTCGAATCACGGCTGTGCACAAATTGAATTTTCTACGCAATTACTAGGAGCTCCTGCGGTAAGAGCAAACATCGCGAGGAAACCGGCTTGTTTCAAACCCAAATTCAGATATGTGTCAGATACAAATGGCCGAACACCTACTTGTATTTAAAAGAAAACGTGGACCAAATATCAGTAACTAGAATAAAAAGCTTAAATTGTATCATGTTTTAGTTTAATTACATAAAAAATTTACAATAACATGTTCTTATCTTTTTAATAACACAAATGTAATCAATACGCAAAATAAAAATTATCTTTCAAAATATTATTATTTAATTACATCGGAATTTAGTATGATAATTTTTGAGTCGATTTATTTTATTACCGTACTTTGTCAATAAGGATAGCTACCTCTTGTGTCCACTCTGTATATTCCAGATCTGAAAAAGAAATTTCAATGAAATTAGAGTGCGTAAATATTTACAATACAACAATTAAAAAGTTGTTAGACATTAGAAGGCGAAGGATGTAAGGCAAAAGTAAAAACAAAAGAAATTCCATATTTTGTTTTAATTAGATTCAAAGCGAACCGAAAATCACATTGATAACTATACTTTACAGAAGCTACCAACTATTATAAGTACCAAGTAATCAAATTTAATGACAGTGCAATGAATTTAGCTGCGAGGTCTTAGTTTTAAGTGAACAGCAAGAGACAAGTCTTCACAATATCACCCAGAAATAAAATTGCTTAATTATAATCGTGCGGCTATAGAATCTCCAAAATACTCACCCTCGTTTATTCAAAATATCGTTGCCCATACGTAACGACCTCCCGCGGCAAGAGTTCAAATTAACCTGAGTCATGGAGGAGCACAGTCTTCCTTCTAAATGATTTCTTGTCACCGTAGAGGCGAATAACTGCCAAGCGCGATTATGGTTGCATACATTGGTGAGACATCCAGGCTGTCTTATACCACCATTAGGGAAGAAATCTGCATCAGCAATTGCCGTACCAATTCCAAGACCGCCGACAGTGTATCCACTATCAGTGTGAATAGCCTCTACATAGACACCGTCGGAGGGACTTAGGCGATTTCTGTTGAGATTCCATAGAGGCCCTGCTGGATCTAATCCTGTGTGTGATGTTTATCTATAAGCCACAGTGTAAAAAAGCCAAAAAGTCTTTGTCTCGAATTTCTGAACCGACTTTTTGGTTCATTTTGTAAGATAGTATTGTCTGTTGGAATGTTCATCGTCATTAGTATGAGAGTTTTTACGAAATATGTAAATCCTGTTAATAGTCGCTTTAAATAATCTCGATGAAATGTGTTATTTCACGGTATGTACCTAGTTCCATACCGAGTTCAAACACTATTTTCCAAATGTAAAAATACAAATCTCACCTGTGACTCTAGCTATTCGTCCTCTCAATTCTCTTCCTGCGTTTCCTACAATGTGTGCACCGAGACTGAATCCTACAAGGTGCATTTTATCAAATGGAGCTCCCGTAGTTTGGTGTAGGAAATTTAGAAATTGTCCCAAACCGCGTCCAACATCTGGTACACCAGCCGCAGCGGTTACATAATCACGCCTTGCAAGTCTGCTCCAATCTAGTATAATAACATTGTAGTCACCTTTACCGAGAAAAGCTGTAAAAAATATAAAATAATTATTTAATTTTGACTTAAGCTTAAAACAAATCTATGAAATTATACAGTATTCTGTCCCTTTTTATCACAACGAAAATACAATTTGACAGTAAAAGACGAAGTAAGTATAACAGTGTAAGAAGGCTGATTTAGTTTTAATGAGTAATAGTCTTGAAACAATAAATTCTACTAATGACCCCGTGCTTGAATTATAATAAAATATTCCGAACAAAGATAAATGTCTAGAAAACTAAATAGCAACATCATCAATGATGATGAAAGCAATGACAAGCAACACTGAAAGAATCTTTTTTTTTTATACCTAGCCACAGGGGTGTAGTATAACGAGTAGGAGGCTCACCAGATATTAAGTGGCCCATGGAAACTTAAAATACCATGTGGTTCACGAGTGTGTTGCCGATCTTTCAATCATACAATTTTTCTAGAAGAATCTTAAGTCAAATTAGTTCGGAATTACCACGATAAGCAGCTGGTTCCATAAAATGGTGGTACGCGGCCATAATCATGGAGAGAATAACATGTTTCAAATAAATAAATGCATATACCGTTACGAATTGTTGGATTGATCTGAGTGTTTTGATTACTAAGCCAGCCATGGACTGACACAACTGTGGGGTGTTGAGCATTGAAGTTCGAATTTCTTATTGAATTGGCATCGTTCATAAGTAGTCTCTGCGAGTTTCTCGAATTCCGTCTGGAAATTAATCACAAAGGTTAAACTAAAATAATACTGAGAATATTTATATTTTTCATGAGTTATTTCAGCTGATATTTTATCCTAATATTCTTTCACACTGACGGAGAATAAATAATTTACCATACACAAACACGTGTTACTAGACACAAAGTTGAAGGTATACTTTTGTAGGTATTGTCTCAATTGTCATACAAGTTTGGCGGGTACTTAGAATTGTTCGATGACCTATTCGATTTTTAAATAAAACCTGGCCGCAACTACGCCACTTACTGTATTATAATATGTCAATATTCTGGCCTAATTTAGTATTGATTCTTTATTGAAATTGTACGTACCGTGTGTACAAGAGGTATTGATTATTCGCCGCATTCCTTTGTATCTCATTCAAAAACTCTACATCAGGCTGGGCTTCTAAATCAACTTGGTGCATCTCACCGTCGCCGTCAGGGAATTGTATGTAGCGCGGATATAATTCCCTCTCCGACGTCGACGAGGCATACACTAGAATATTTAAAAACAGCAACGTCATGGAAAATTTAAAATCAAGGTACATTTTACGAATTTTTCTTGTATTTTATGTTCGAACGTTTGGATTCGTAGTGAGGTGAAGTACTCTATCTGTTCATTTGCTTCTCTTGGTTTAGTAAATAATTTTAATTTATGAACTTGCAACTCACGTACAGGATTCTAAACCTAATTAACAATTAGGATGACTTAGGCATGGGTATATGGCTATAGTTCAGTGGTTTACTTCTTGTATTTAGAGTGATATAAACAAGTGTTCGTTACCCAAAAAAATTAATAAAGCCCCATTTTTAAAGTTTCTGTGGTATCCCCAAAGAGTTCTTACACAAGTATAACATTTATATTTCTTCGTAATACATACCAAAAAGACTTATAAAAACTAAAATCTTCATTTTGGATTATTGCACGAAAACGAATTGTTTAAAAAACCGCGACGTACGTATTTATAGCAGCTGACAGATAAGTCTCAAATGATTGCGATAAAAATATAACGATCTTTTTCAGAATTCCGTACACAGAGATAAAAAACTAGAGGAGGTCTGTCAAATATGTCTGAGACGACCTAGTGGTTGGAGACTAGGTACCGCTGGATTGACAGAGTGGAGGAGAACCTGCTGCAGCTGAAAGCCAGCAATTGGCGAGAGATGACACAGGACAGGGAGCGCTGGAAGTTTCTCGTTTCGGAGGCCAAGGTGATGTTATTTATTTCGATTATGTATTTGTGTGTTTTTCCCACGAGAATGTAAGTGCGTGCCCCTATTTCACCATGCCTACTGCTGATAGAGGACAAATCTTTGTTTTCAATTTATTTTATTATTATGAATTACTTAAGATGTCATGTGCAACATGGTGTAATGGTTGCAGCTCGATACAAACGTTGTGTAAAACCAGAAACATGGCGATTAAAAAGAATGGCGGAGAGTTTATTGCCAGTTCTCCTTTTCCGTTCTACGCCCTTGGCCGTAAATGTAAAATTAGAAGCATTTCATATATATATATTTTTTTGACGTTCATAAGTGTACATTGTGTTACCTATATGAATAAATTATTTTTGAATTTTGAATTGAGTGAGGTCAAAATTATAACGAAAGTGGCCTTAAAAGAGGTATAAAACTCGTAAACTGTAAGTTATCAATTCTCATTAAACATTGGATATGAGACTGATACTTTGTATGAGTCTATTGGACCAGTAATTATTTAAACGAGCAGCTTTTTTCTTACTTTTTCCCCAGTTTGTAAACCTGTAAACCCCATGGCCTGTTGGTAAACTGAACCATGACCTTCGGGGGCTTATACCTTCCCAAAGAACTACTAATAATTAAAGTTCAAAAAAAAAAAGTATAATAATTTAATATGTTTTAATTACGAGGTTGGTAGTCTAGAGTTTAATTATTAGCAGAAGTCAAAAAATATAATTAAAGATTTAAACGAAGCAATATGTTTTAGGTACATGCACAAATATTTTACTGTATCTTACTTTGTTTGTCAGTGAGGGTGTAGGAATATGGTTGCGTTAAGTCCCGTAAAGCCATACTTCTGTGATCCTCAAATCTTGGCAATCGAACCCAGCCTGAGTTCGGGTACATGGTACGATGGCTGACTATTAATCCGTTAACCGTTAATCTCCAGAACAAATCACGTATAGCGATGGTACGGACATGGTTTTTTGAAGCTTATACTCAAGATGGTATTTTTATATTTTATGGATATTTAGCAAAAACCCATTTCAAAGATTGTATCATGCTTTGCCTTGTAATCTCTTTTTAAAAAGTCATTATCTACTTTTACATTAACAGATAGCATAATAATTATTACGTCGTTTAAATGGAGGGAAAATTACTATCCTTAAATTAATGGTAAATGAAGATATTTTTTTAATTTACTAGAATTAGTCTACAAACTACTTATTTTAAAAATTATCAGGGCCAATCAATAATGAAACATGAATTAAAATAATGTACGTACATCTTATACGTGTGACACGTTTTGACGTCTGTCATTCCACAACTGAGCATTTTTAAGGGACTTTTCAGCACTATCAGGAACCAACTGCTCGGCTTAGGCTCAAGAAAAGAGCGTACCAATTCTTAAAAGGTCGAAAATGCACTTGTGAGCCTTCGAGCAGTGTGCGTCCATGTATATCAGATGAGCCTCTTGCCTGTTTGTCCCCTGCTTTATAAAAAAGCGTATGAATCCCTTATGCCAAAATATATTGAATGTTGATATACCTCACGTAAGTTGACTTGAGTTTGAATTTTACTCTTTATACGGAGACAAAGATTAATTTGTTTAACTGAACATTGGTTAGATGATCATCAGATAATGTCTATTAATTATGAAAATTATTGTGTAGTTAGCTATTTCAGCCGGAAGTGTATGATACACGGTGGATCATTAATATTAATCAAAAATTCTGTTAAATCTAAAGAAAGGAAAGACATTATCAGATTGTCAGTTGAACATTCTATAGAGTTGTCCTGTGTCGAGCTCGATAAGCATGTTGTAGTATGTGTTTACAGACCTCCGGGCTATCAGAATCTATCTGTATTTGATTCTGTAATGGAAGATGTGTTAAAAAAACTTAGTACTAGTAGTAAATCAATCATCATAAGTGGTGATTTTAATATTAACTTATTAGAAACAAACTCAAATAGTATCAGATTAATAAGTCTTTTTAAATCATTTAATCTGTCTAATGTTTTTATGGAACCAACTAGAGTGACAGCTTCTTCTGCCACTTGTATAGATAATATTTTTTGTAATTGTGATTACTTACATAAAGAAATTGTTAATAAATTGCCTTCTGATCACAGTGGACAAACAATAACGTTTTGTGCCTACATACCTATACAAAAAATTCAAATAAGGTATAGGCCAATTACATGTAAAAATTTAGAGAAATTAAATAATACCTTGACCAGTAAATTGTGTGTTCAAAACTTTAATAATATTTGGGACCCTAATGAGTTCTATGCGAAGTTTTTTACCTTGTTAAAATCGCAATTTAATGACATTGTTCCACAAAAGACAAAAAAGTATTTACACCAAGTTCTTATTTAGTGATTGGGCGACTCCAGGTATTCGTAAGAGCAGGGATAAACTTTTTGAACTATATGGCCTAAGGCAACATGTAAAAAATACAAACTTTCATCAGCATGTTGCGAAATATTCAAAAACTTTTAAAAGTGTGTGCAAAATTGCTAAAGCACTGTATATTAGTAATAAAATAAAATCAGCGGATGACAAAATAAAAACTACCTGGCAAATAATAAATAATGAAACTGGTAGAAAAAAACAGCGTAATACTGAATTTAACTTAGAGACTGCACATGGCCCAATAAACTCAAATGCAGAAATAGCTCAGGAATTTGAAAACTTTTTTATCAATATTCCCTTTAAAACTACCGAAGCTTTAAGTTCATCATCCGCACTTTCTTTTGCGTTACTTACGAAGAATGTAAGGGCATGCCCTACGGAGTTTCGATTTCAATATACAAACCCCCAGGCTGTTATGAAAGCTTTTAAAGATCTTAAAATTAAATCTACAGAAGATCTTTGGGGATTGTCTGTAAAAGTCTGTAGTTCTATCATCGAAACTATTGCGCCTTATTTAGCTTTCATATTTAACACCAGCATAGACCAAGGAGTCTTTCCGGATCTCATGAAACACAGTAAAGTAGTTCCGTTGTTCAAATCCGGTGATAGTAAAGAACCCAATAATTATAGACCTGTGTCAATTCTGCCAGCTCTCAGTAAGGTGTTTGAAAAGTTAATGCTCAATCAAATGTTATGTCACTTTAATAAAAACTCCATCTTTCATGAACAACAGTACGGTTTCACCAAAGGGCGTTGTACAACTGACGCCGGTGTCTCCCTAATCAAGAACATTTTTAACGCTTGGGAGGAAGCACAAGATGCCATTGGAATCTTTTGCGACCTTTCGAAGGCGTTCGATTGCGTAAACCATGAGACTCTTCTGCTGAAACTTAATCACTACGGGATTAAGAACAAAGCTCTGGACTTACTAAGATCTTACTTGAAAAACAGACAGGTTAAAGTTCAGGTTAACGGCATAAACTCGTTAGGGTCTGAAATTACAATGGGCGTTCCTCAAGGTTCAATATTGGGTCCATTCCTCTTTTTAGTATACATAAATGATTTACCCCAATTAGTTCAGAATAAACCGAAGATGGTGTTATTTGCAGATGACACATCATTGATTTTTAAAGTAGATCGACGGTCACAAAATCGTGACGACGTGAATAACTCTATTCTTCGGGTCCAAAATTGGTTTACGGTAAACAATTTGGCACTGAATGATAAAAAAACTAAATGTATTAGATTTACGTTGCCAAATGTTAAAAGTAAGGAATGTGACATAATGTTGAATGAAGGAAAACTGGAATTTATTAATCAAACGGTTTTCCTAGGCATCACGCTAGACGAGAAGTTACAATGGGGACCTCATATCACATCTCTTGCGGGGCGGCTGAGCTCAGCCGTTTATGCGGTTAGAAAGATAAGATATTTAACCAATGTAGAAACTGCGCGTTTGGTCTATTTCAGCTACTTTCACAGCATAATGTCTTACGGCATTTTACTGTGGGGTCGGGCTGCTGACATAGAATCCATTTTTATTTTGCAAAAGAGAGCGGTCAGAGCCATTTATAATCTACGTCGTTGCGAATCTCTCAGGGAACTATTTAAAAAGATTAATATTATGACAGTACCTTGCCAATTCATTTATGAAAATATTATGTATGTAAGAAAGAATCTACATCTTTTTAGTAAAATAAATGAAAGACATAATTTTAGTACTAGAAATAAAGATAAAATAGCTCAACCATCTTTCAGATTAGCCAAAGTTCAAAATTCATTTATGGGGTACTGTGTGAAATGTTACAATAAAATACCTTGTGACATTTTAAAACTAAATGAACGAAAATTTAAATGTTTTATTAAAAGTACACTTTGTAAACAAGCATATTACAAATTAGATGATTATATTCAAGATAAGAATGCTTGGAAACATGCTGGTCCTGCTCCATAGGACAATCCTATGATTGGCTCTATAGCCTGGACAAAATCAAATTGGTTGCTGATTTTTTGCTAAAAAAAATATGTTAATTTTTGTTATTATTATTATTATTTTTTTTAATTTATATAATGCTACAAATGTAATTATTTTTTTTTGTATCTCACACACTGTTTTGTTGTGTTTTTTTAATATTTTTATTACTCTTTAATGTTAATATTCTAAGGTTTCGATATTTGTAAATATGTGAGGAACATGTATACTAACTTTTTTAGTATAGTAGTTTATTCTAAGAGTACATTGTCTTCACATATAATTATTTAACAAATGTAACAAAATATTGTAAACCTATTTTAA